CTCTCTCTCTCTCTCTCTCTCTCTCCCTCTCTCACCCGTCCAGCTGATGTCCGTCACTTTAACAGAAACTCAACAGCAGAGAAAATCTAGAGCGCAGTGAGACACTGTAGTGTGTGTGTGTGTGTGTGTGTGTGTGTGTGTGTGTGTGTGTGTGTGTGTCAGTGTTGCATAACCTCAGTGAGTGGGCTGCTGTTTGTGTCCAGTATTTATAAATGTCTCCACTCCAACGGCAACAACATTGTGAAATCTCACACACACACACACACACACACACACACACTCACATACACACACACTAGTAAATTAAGGTAGGAGTCATTCAGACGACTTCAGGTCTGGGATCAGTGTTTGTAAAAAGTTCATCAGTGAGCTTCAGTTGTTTCCTGGTCGCAGTCTCCGCCCACTGTGACGTCAGCTCACCTGTACCTGTCCACCCTCACCTTCATGTGAAACCTGCAGGAAGAAGCTCGTTACATTAAAAACAAACTGTTTTCAACAGAGCCTGTGTGTGTGTGTGTGTGTGTGTGTGTGTGTGTGTGTGTGTGTGTGTGTGTGTGTGTGTGTGTGTGTGTGTGTGTGTGTTGTTTCTCCACAGACTCATGTTGTTCTTTCATCTACATGAACAATAACAAGTTTTACTGTATCAGTGAAAGGATTGTTTCAACTTCCTCTTTCCTGCCAGGGTCATAATGACAGGAAGTGACATCATCTCAACATCTCTCTCTCTCTCCCTCAGAGATGTAGCGTGTGTGTTGGTGTGATCGGCGGACCATCATGCACCTCTTCCTGCTGCTGATCCTTCAAGCCACAGCAGCCTTCGGACAGATCGACCCCGGTACACACACACACACACACACACACACACACACACACACACACCTAAACTGATTCTAACTTTAACTCTATAACAGTCATTTGGAAAAGTGAGAACTGTGTGTGTGTGTGTGTGTGTGTGTGTGTTTTACAGCACATTGTCGCTATGCCTTGGGCATGGAGGATGGACGGATCACAAATGATGACATCACAGCATCCAGCCAATGGTACGAGACCACGGGACCACAGTACGCCAGGTCAGTGACATCATGTAATCACATCATTAACCATTTCTCTAATTGATGATGATTGATTTTCTTTCTTCATTGTTGCTGGTAAAATCTTAATAAAGTTTGACATCAAAACATAAGATAATAATATTATTAATAATAATAATGTATATATATATATAAACACATACATAATAATCATCTTTTATGCTCTCGTGCCTCGACTGTTGTAATGCACTTTAATGGCGAGGCGTTTACGGGGGGGGGGGGGGGCTGGTTGCTCTGGGACTCGGCTGGTGACTGAAGGTTAGAGACTGTGGATCAGACAGGAAACAGCTTTACTGTCTTTTCAGACTCTTCCTACAACCTTCTGTTCTGGAAAAGCTTCATGAATGTTTGAAATGTTGTGTTGAAACAGACAATCTGTATTTTCACACAACGTCCTTCTGTTTTATGATGCATTTGTTTTTCTCTTTTTCTTTCTGTAAATCACTGTGACCTCGTTAAGAAGTGCTATGTTAATAAAGTTTATTATTATTATTCTATAATTATCTGTAGTTTATTATCAAGTATATTAATGATGCAGAAACATCTAAGATCAAGATCATTTTAAAATGACTCAACAATTAAACACTCGACAGCTTGTCAAGTGTTGATGCTGGTTTAATGTATATTATATTATATTATATTATATTGTATTATATTATATTAATTATTATATTATATTATATTTCACTTTCACACATCCCTTTAAAACGTCACGTGAGTGATAGTTCCAGTCAAGAATTTCTGACTTTGGAACATGTAAAAATCAGAGTATGTACTTTAAGACTCTATATGAATGTATAAATGTTGAAACAGTCTATATTGACGTGTGTTGTGTGTCTGTGTGTGTCTGTGTGTGTGTGTGTGTCTCGTTGCTGTGATGTTTGTGTGTTGTGTGTGTTGGTGTCCTGTGTTGTGTGTGTCGTGTCTGTGTTCTGTGTGTGTGTGTGTGTGTGTGTGTGTCTGTGTGTGTGTGTGTGTCTGTGTGTGTGTGTGTGTGTGTGTGTGTGTCTGTGTGTGTGTGTGTGTGTGTGTGTGTGTGTGTGTGTGCAGGCTGAACCGTGAGGAGGGGGACGGCGCCTGGTGTCCTGAGGGACAGCAGGAGCCTTCGGACAGTCAGTACCTGCAGGTGTGTGTCGTGTCCTGTCACCTGCTCCGTCAGGACGTCGGGGTTAAATCAGGAGGAACGTGATCCTGCTCAGTCAGTGTAACAGGAGCGTTCACAGGCGGCGACCTGCGCTGCTAATAAAGTTATATTTAAACACTGCACAGGATGTAAAGAGGGGGAGGAGCTGGTGAAGGTCATTTTCTCTCATCGGAAAACAAATCCTCAAATCAGCTGATTAGAAAGTTTTCACTGACTGTGGATTCTTCAACATCCACTTCATTTATTTTTAATTTAACTTTGATCATGTCAGTGTCTCTTTATTCAAACATAAAACATTACAACAAAGGGACTGGCTCAAAGTTAAAGCCTCAGTGTTTCTGTCACATTTTATTTTTATTCACTTTTATTTACTTCATTTAATCAGGAAGTCACATTGAGACCAAGATCTCATGAACACGTGAGACCTGAGAACAGAAGAGAAAATCAATAACACAGAGAACTCAGAGATTTAAATCCACAGTCAGATGTGAATTCACATAAACAAGTAGACGTGTGTCTATATAGATACTGATCAGTTACATCGTCAGTAAGAAGTGTTTTGAATTGTTTGCCGTCCAACCAAGATTAGTATTTACTGCAGGAACATTTACAGTCAGACAATTAATCTCTTGATTAGTTTGGTATAAAAGCACTTGAAGGTGTCGGCAGCAGGTGTCACCTGCACAAAAACAAAGACGCTGTCGTTAATACACAAGAAAGAAATGTTGAAAAAAATGGAGAAACTGAATCAAAGGACGTGAAGTGAAAATGTAAAAAACGTAATGATCATTTAAGCAGATGAAGTGAAACCCTGGTCTCTGGGTTCCTGGTGTGTCACATGATTTGACAGACAGCTTCTGATTGGTGTGTTTCTCAGGTGGACCTGGGCCGCCTCACCTTCCTGACGGTGGTCGGGACTCAGGGACGATACGCCAGAAACTCCGGGAACGAGTTCGCCCGAGCGTACCGCCTCAACTACAGCAGGGACGGGCTGCTGTGGAAGCCCTGGAGGAACCGGCAGGGAAACACAGTGAGTGACCCTGAACGCCTCACCACAGAGGGGCAGGACCAGCTGGGGGGGGGGGGGGGGGAAAAGGGNAAGTGTCTGATAGGCAGGAAGAATGGAAGAAAACCTGCAGAGGAAACGTGAGATGGAGCGATAGAACGAAAAGAATGAGAAGAAAGAAGGAAGGGAAAAGAAAATGATGCTTATTTCTCTCTGAGCTGCTTCTGGTCATTCACACTCATATCACAGGAAATGACATTTACACAGGAGCTTCCTGTTGGTCTCCAGCTGCCACGGCAACGCCGTTAGGACACAGTTTAAACAGTGGGTCATGTTTTTATCTGACTGAACTGTTTCCTCCAGGGAACCTCCCTCAGATAACTTTACCCAGAACATTTTGTTATTCTAAGACATGAATTCATTTATGTAGGAGCAACATATTCTCGGCCAATCAGGAGACGCAGTTTAGGCGAAGATGACGATAACATGTGAGCAATGTATTTTCATAAATATGAGTCAAATACTAAAAGGCAGGATTGTTTTTCTACGTTTCTTTTTTTTCATCTGTATAAACACCCCCGAAAGGAGGGGGAGTTTTTTGTTTCGGGCGGGATAAATAAAGAAATGAATTATAATAATTGTTTAATGAAAAATTTTTTGTAAAAAATTTTTTGTTTTATAAAATTTTTATATATTTTTTTTATTGCACAATTTTTTTTTTTTTATAAAAATGTTTTTTTCTGTTGTTTTATAAAATAAATAAATAAAATAAAATAAATTTCACCAAAAAATATTTTTATGAAAAAAAAAAAATTTCACAAAAAAATTTCAAAAAAATGTTTTTCGAAGAAAATGTTGTGCAATTTGTACTAAATATGTACTAATATTTGTACTAATATTCTCTGTTTTTGTAGAGAACTTGCTTCTACAAGTTTGTTGTTTTTTTTGTCTCATAAAAAACCCCTCGCCTCGGGGAAGGTGTTTATGTAGATAAAAATTATCCAGGCAAAAGAACAAATTTCACTTTCAGGGTCGGACTGGCTGAACTCACAGTGAAGCTTTCATCACTTTAAAATGAGACCTGACGTCTGACCCGTTGCTCAGAGGCTGTCGTTTGTTTCTCACACTGTTGTTTGTCACCAGGTGATGGAGGGCAACAAAAACGCCTACGCCTCCGTCATCAACGACCTTCACCCGCCCATCATCACCCGCTACGTCCGTCTGATCCCCGTCAACAAGCTGTTGACCACCGTCTGCATGAGAGTGGAGCTGTACGGCTGTCCATGGGACGGTATGACATACACACACACACACACACACACTCTGACACTAGAGGATGTTGAGTCAGTAGATATAGAGTTGTTTACTCGTCCTCAGCGGAGGAGTAAACTCAACATTAAACCTTAAAGGGATTATACAAACACTGTTAATCTGTTGTGCAACAAAACAAAATCACACCAACAGCTTTTATCTGTCAGAAGCGTCACAGTTACATTTTATCACAAAAATCCCCCCCCCCCCCTTCAGACGGCCTGATCTCCTACAGCGCTCCGGAGGGTCAGCTCATGATGCCACCTGGTTATCCCATCGCCAGCCTCAACGACTCCACGTACGATGGAGCACATGAGAGGAGGCGAGTCACACACACACACACACACACACATGCTCATCACCCAGTGTTTCCTGTTTCCTGATCCGTGTGACTGACGGCTGTCTCGTCCAATAGGAGGCTGTTCGGTGGGATGGGTCAGCTGACGGACGGCGTGATCGGCCTGGACGACTTCCTGCTGACGCGTCAGTACCACGTGTGGCCGGGCTACGACTACCTGGGCTGGAGGAACGACTCGCTGGGAACTCAGGGATACGTGGAGATGGAGTTTGTGTTCGACAGACAGAGGAACTTCACGTCCATGAAGGTTCTTGTTTCTGTTGACGTCGCCTCGTCAGGAGCAGATTCTTTCTTTCTCTCATTTTCACTCATGTTTTCATCACTCAGTCTTTCACCAGCAAACTCAGATGAATATATAATATTTTATTGTGATTACAGCGGCAGGAAGTGACATCACTGGTCAGTGGGACTCTACAGTAAAACAGGAGCACATTGTTCACGTTAAAAAGATAAAACTCCGACTGTCCTCGATGGAGCGAACGTTCCACTATTTACCATAAAACTTTTCTTCTTCGCTGCTCTACAACAGTAGCTGCACAGTGCAACTTCCTGTTTTAGAGCAGTGAAGAAGAACTGATTCACTGGAGAAAGTGCCATTTAATCTGAGTGTGAAACTATAAAGTTAATTAATAAATTAACTGGTATCTGATCAGTGCATAGACTTGTGTACTCACCAATATCTGATCGAGTACTTTCAGCAGTATCTGAGGTATTTCAGATATAATAAGTATTTTAAATACATGCATAAACCTCCTTGAAAGATTTATAATTTAAAAAATGTTCTCCTCCTCCGTCCGTCCAGGTTCACAGTAACAACATGTTCTCCCGCGGCGTGAAGATCTTCTCCTCCGTCTCCTGCTGGTTCAAGCCCCGCCTCATCGCCGGCTGGGAGGCGGAGCCTGTGGCGTTCAAGACGGTGCTGGACGACAGGAACCCGAGCGCCCGCTACGTCACAGTGCCGCTGAACCGACGCACCGCCAAATCCCTCCGCTGCCGCTTTAACTTCGCTGACGTCTGGATGATGTTCAGCGAGATCTCCTTTCAGTCAGGTAACACACACACACACACGCACGCACGCACACATATTTTACATACAACAGAAAATATAAAATCTTGTTGTTGTTTGTCCTTCAGAGGACACCATACTCCCGACCCAGATGACCCTGCTGGTGACCTCCCCTCCAGCCAGTGAGGAGAGCACCATGACACCCACATCAAAGACAGGTATGACCTTTGACCTTTTAAAAGGGGACATCTTCTGTCTCCATGAAGAAGAAAATATATTTAAAAAATAAGAGCGTAAAAAAGTGGGACAAACTGTGAATGTGGCCGAGAAAACTGAACATGAGTAAGTAAAGTAAGTAAAAGCTTTTATCAGTGTCAATTATCTCAGCTGTTTACAGTCTAATCTACGCAGAGAAAACCAAAACAAAAGTCAAAAAGCTCCTCCAGTGTAAAGGTCTCTGTCCATATGTAGTGTTATTATAGATCAGCTCTAGCTTCTATATTAATACTGTGAAAGTATCAAAGCCTCAGTCCACAGAGAAATGCACACAGCCTGTATTCAGACACTGAGCCTTAAAACCAGCCGTCAGGACTTCTGGAACTTTGTGATGTCACAACAAAGCAGTCACCAAGCCCCGCCCACCTGGACCCACCATCCAAACCTTGCAGGATTTGGTTTCTCTGAGTGTTTTTACCTGAAATCTGCTATATTTTTATTGGATCACTCAGAAAACAGTCAGCCAATCAGAAGAGAGGCTCAGAGCCTCCTCTCTTCTGATTGGCTCACAGACCTGTTGTTACTAGAGCTGCAGAGAGAAGCCTGAGAGAGGAGATGTAAAACTACACTGAGATGGTTTTTATATCTTCTGATGGATCAACACTTCAAATAAAACACAGAAGAAGAAGAAACACGGAGCTTTAAAAAACTTTTTTTTAATACTCGTAGCTTAATTTGTTCTGTCGTCATCACATCTTAAGTCTTCACGTCTCTGTCTCCTCCACAGCAACTGTCAATCCGTCAGCCAGTGATCCGCCTGACGACGGGAACACGCCCATCCTGATTGGCTGCCTGGTGACCATCATCCTGCTGTTAGTCATCATCATCTTCCTCATCCTCTGGTGTCAGTACGTCTGCAAGGTGCTGGAGAAGGTGAGGAGACGAACCACTGGGAGGGTTCTCCATGGGTTCCCAGTCAGGGTTCTGGTTCTGTGGAACAACGGTGTAGCCTGCATTTTATTCCTCTGCGTCAGTCAGAGTGGCAGCCATATTGTTTTCAGGTTGTCCGTCTGTCCCGGTCTCGTGGACACGATATCTCAGTAACGCCTTGACGGAACTTCTTCAAATTTGGCACAAACATTCACTTGGACTCAGGGAAGAACTGATTAGATTTTGATGGATAAAGGTCAAAGGTCAAAGGTCAGGGTGACAGTTATTCTAGTTTCTCTGTGTTTCAGCGTCAGTAGGTTCTTTGAGGTTTTCAGCAAATGAAATGGACGTTGACACATAATGAGTGTAAATGTTGAAATACAATCATTATACAAACATTTTCTCAACAGTTTTGATGGTGGGTAACTCTCTGTGCTGCTTGACGCCACCTGCTGAACGTGTGTGAAGCAGCTGTTCAGAATAAACCAGTCATCACAGACTGAAGAGAGAATAAAGTCCGGACATTTATTTTCCTTTTTAGGAAGTCAGATTAGAGTCCGAGGCTTTGAGGGGATGTGATGTTTATTATAGAGCTGTGTTGATCAGCTGCTTAAATGTCCTCATGACCCTGAAGTGACTGAGGTCCAGCTTTGTCAATTCATGTCCACAGAGCAGCTGGTCTCAGATCAGTTTATTTATTTGTTTATTTCACAGGGACAGATCACATTAATAAACTCTGAGAGGAAATGTTTCATCTGTAGTCCCTGGACAGATGCTACAGATGTTACAGATGTTACAGATGTTACAGATTCACCCTAAAAAACAATATAAGATTGAAATGACAAAGTTATTGAGATCATTTATGAGCATGAAGATTAATAATAATAAGACAAAAGAATATTGAAGTTAACAAAAGCCTGATTCATGAGTATTTAAGACACAACACAGTCTCATAACACAGAACAATAAAATGTTAATGATGATAGAAATAAAACCACATTGTGCTGCACTGTTGACAGCATATCAATAATCATAATAAAAGACACTCCTCCTCACAACACACAGTAAAAACGAGGCATGAAATACAGAATACATGAGAAAACAGAGTCATGGAGTTAATTCATCAGTCTGACATGATAAATCCAAACCACAACATAGACATGAACACAAGCTGTGCTGCGCCAGAGACAATGATTATTTATTCTATTTATTATTTAATAAAGCAACAATATTGTTATTATATTTATTAATGTTCATTAAACAAATATTAAATGCGATAAATGAAATGTTTGAATCATCTGTTTCCTCCAGGCTCCACGTCGGATCCTTGATGAGGAGGTGACGGTTCGACTGTCGTCCTGCAGCGACACCATCATCCTGCAGACCCCCCCCGTGCCCCCCCGCTCTGGACACGCCCCCACAGGTAGTCAACAACAGACTTTTACTTACAGTAGAAATACAGACGGATTTTCTTCTGTGTTTTTTTAAATGAAGGTTCTTTGGGACGAACAGGGAGATTCTTTTTCTCTGTGTATTTACTGCTGTTCAGTAGAAACAGTGTGAGACAACAGATGAGTCATTAAAGGTCACGACCCAGCGTCAGTCCAGCTGCACTGGAGCCACATGATGGAGGAAACATTAGCCACCAACAGAACCACGCTCCTTCACAAGATGGAGGTTCTCCAGCTGCTCGGGAAACGTCTCTCTGCTTCTTCTTCATGCCATTAATTGGTGTGTGGATGTGGTTTTTCCTCAGGCCCCGCCAACACTGACCCTCACTATGAGAGAGTCTTCCTGTTGGACCCTCAGTACCAGAACCCGGCGGTGCTGAGGAACAAGCTGCCGGAGCTGTCGCAGAGCGCCGAGGCCTCAGGTGAACACACACCCGGACACGTTCACTCATTCCATCGTCACGACTACGACTGATACTGTTAAAGTCAGACTTCCTGGTAAACAAACCGTCCTTGTGACATCAGCTGTGACGAGAACAAAGATGGCGGCGCGCTACAAATACAACGTAAACGCGTACGAGCGTCTTCCTGTAGCATATTTCCGATCTTTGTTTGACATTGGAGTATTAATGACAAAGTATCGTGCATTTTGCATCTAATATTCAATTAATGGTGGTTTCTAATTGCAGTATAATTTAAGTGTTTTACTGTAAATAAAAAACTTTTTTTATAGTTTTGCCTAATTTGATACAAACTGCGGCTCGTTACGTCTCATTAGTGAACTGTAAAATAAAGCTTTATGGCTTTATGATGCTTTTATTGTGATTTATATATAAATAATTCATTGATGCTATAAGTAGATGTTCATTCTGCTATTTCATCTTTAAACTTGAGTTTGAACAGAGCGATGTGAGAGTCAAACCCAGATTCACAAACAGGAGAATTCCCCCTTCAAACTCCCTCTGCGTCATTCTGTTGGTGGAGGTTCACTGAAGTGACCGGCAGCTCCCTCATCTATGAAAACACAAACCTGACTGAAGTGATTGTGAATCAGTGAAGCTTTAAAAAAGTTCCACATGTTTGGACTGGACTGTCTGCTGCAGTCTGCCCCCTACTGGCCCTGTCGCACGCCTGCAGCAGGAACCACGTCAGGGGTTTCCTCACTAACAGCTTCGTTTCCTTCATTTCCTCCAGAACATGTTGCACAAACTCTCTGTCCTCTCCCTGTTTTCAGAATCTGCATGCTCTTTCATTCTGCAGTGTTTCTCTCTGTTACTTCCTCTCCGTCCTCCTCCTCTTCCTCCAGCTCTCCTCCTCAGTAATCCTGTCTATGACCTCCTCCTGCTGACTTCCTGTCACATGACGTCAGGCTGGCTGCGTGGTAAGAGCTGAAAGGTGTGAACTCAGGGTTTTCATATCGCTGCGTCTGACCTGTGAAGTTCAACTCAACTTTATTTACACAGAATCTTTCATACAGACATGTCCAACACACACACACACACACACACACACACACACATAAAAAAGAAAAAAGAAAACTTTTCAACAATAAAACATTGAAACGATGAATAAAAGTCAACAAATAAGATAAAAGTCGCTAAAATAAAACACCAGAGATAAAAAGTAACTTGGTTCAAAAATACTTACAAATACAAAAATCTAATTTTCAAATCTAAAACACACTCCTATTTTTTAATTCCAATATATTTGCCATAAACTACAGAAGCTGAAAGAGGACATCACTGCCATCTCGAGATCAAGAGTTAATTACCTCGTTATCTCAGGAACACAAAATTAAATGATGTTTTTATCTCAAGGAAAAAATAACAGTTTTCCTGAGTAAATAAATATTGAATTTCAAGAATTTTATCATGTGATTCACGTCTCCAGAGACGCCATCATCACTGCAGGCAGGGACACGTCTGAGCACATTTACACCAGTTACAGTCGTATATTTACCAAATAAACTTCTACACAACATCCAGGTTATGATTATAAATCAACTGTCCAGGATTTCTTGAATTGTGATCAGATGAAATATTTCCCTCGTCTGTACAGAACGAGATGAAGTTTGTAGATTTTGTTCTTTGTTTTTTTCAAACACATTTATCATCTATTTTTTTTTTTATTTCAGTGGCATTTTGGTTATTTTGTTTTCAACATGTCCTGGTGAAGTGAAATCCTGTGTGTGTGAAAATAAGATCATCATGTGTTTTTACTAAATAATCAGCCTGTTGTTATGAGAGAACGGACGTTGTTAAAACCAAGATTCACCTCAGGGATAAAACTGGATCAAAAAGAAGATTTAAAATCCCCATGAAATTCACCTTGTTGTTTAAAAGTGTCGTGTTTCTGTGGTACGAAGGATTTTGTAGGAAGCTGTGAAGACTAAGATTCTTGATAAATATCCACATTAACCCCGCCCCCTCTCTCTCCGTCAGCGTGTGGAGGAGGCTACGCCGAGCCTGACGTCACCCAGTGCACACCGCACCAGTGTTTCCATAGCAACGCGCCACACTACGCCGAGACGGACATCGTGCGGCTGCAGGGCGTCACCGGCAGCAACATGTACGCCGTGCCCGCCCTCACCGTCGACTCCCTCACCAGGAAGGACATCTCCGCGGCCGAGTTCCCACGGCAACAGCTGATCTTCAGGGAGAAGCTGGGGGAGGGGCAGTTTGGAGAGGTGAGCGGGGGGGTGGGTGGAGTCAGGGAAGGTGTCTGTGAAAGTTTGAAGACGGATGGACGGATGGACCGGATCCAGAATCTGATCCAGATTTCTTCTTGCTTCTTACTCTCCTGCAGGTCCACCTGTGTGAGGCTGAGGGACTCCCAGAATTCCTCGGGGAGGGGTCGCCCCTCCCTGACAGAGACGGCCACTCCGTGCTGGTGGCCGTTAAACAGCTGAGGGCCGACGCCACCAGTCAGGCCAGGTATTTGTGTGTTCGTGTCACTTCCTGTCTGTGCTTCGTGTGAACTGGAACTGGCTTGTGTTTCAATAACAAACGAACCAGTTCACGTTCAGCAGGCTGCCGTTCCTCCACAAGGAGGCGCTGTCCGGTCCCTGTTGTGGTGCAGCGGTTTCCAACCTGTTGTACATAGATTTGTCCATATTGGACAGTTTGCTCTGTAAACAAACGACATGAATTAATACATTTTTAAACTCAAGGGTTTATGATCTATTTGGAGTAAATATGAACATCTTGTCTCCAGTTACTCAGAATCGTGACACTGATTTCTACAGGGAGCAGTGTCTGTCAACATTAGGTTTACATGAACTGAATTAATTATGTGGTTAAAAATACAGACCAGTCTTGCCCAATATGGCGGCGGCGGTGAGATACGATCCAGCAGCCAATGCCGTGTCTGATCAGGACCCTGATGCTCACAAGATAAATCTGAGGGGTCACTACACGCATTCACGAAAACACTTGAGGAATAGATGCTCGGGTAGAAGTGGTTAAAATGTGACTGAAATATTTCATGAAAATGTCGCGTCTCGTCTCTCGTGTCTCGTGTCTCGTCTCCGTCCATCAGGAACGACTTCCTGAAGGAAATAAAGATCATGTCTCGTCTGAACGACCCCAACATCATCCGGCTGCTGTGTGTGTGCGTGTCATCCGACCCGCTGTGCATGGTGACTGAATACATGGAGAACGGAGACCTCAACATGTTCCTGTCGCAGCGGGAGATCGAGAGCACGCTGACGCACGCCAACAACATCCCTTCAGTCAGGTTGATACACCGCACACACGGTTTCTACTGTTTCTACATGCTAACAACATACCATCATACACGCTTCATGTTATCTGAACTTCTCACCTCTTTCCCTCTCCCTCCCTTCAGTCTCTCCGACCTCCTCCACATGTCGGTGCAGATTTCGTCGGGGATGAAGTACCTGGCATCTCTGAATTTCGTGCACCGAGACCTGGCCACTAGGAACTGCCTGCTGGACCGCCGCCTCACCATCAAGATCGCCGACTTTGGGATGAGCCGGAACCTGTACAGCAGCGACTACTACCGCATCCAGGGCCGGGCAGTGCTGCCCATACGGTGGATGGCCTGGGAGAGCATCCTACTGGTGAGGGGGCAGAGGGAAGGTTTAATATAGGACAGGAGTGAAGGAAGACAAAAAGGAGACATAAGTGTGCGGAAGAAAACCTTATTCTTATTCTTGAGTTCTGTCCATCACGGCTCCAAAAGACCCAAAGTCCAGTGGGTCACTTTTGGTCCATCTTTAGATTTTGCCATTTGTCTTTTCTGAAGGGTCGTCAAAAAACCTTGCGGGCCTAGAGATCTTAGGGCGTTTTCACACCTACAGTCCGTAGTAAAGGTTGCTGGAACCATCGAGCTCAAACTGGTGGGGTGGGATCGAGTTCAGAACTCTTTCACACCAAAAATGAACGTCTCGGCGCGATAGTTTTAGTCCAGTTACTGTTTTCACACCTGTCCAAACGAATCGTACCAAGGAGGAAAACCAACCAGGGTTCAGTTTAACCGGACTTAAACATGAAGGTGTGAAAACATCCTTAAACTTTAAAAGCTCTATCATGAAACGTAATGATTTGACCTCTGCCACACTGTCACTTTGCTTCCCCTCCAGGGTAAGTTCACCACAGCCAGTGACGTGTGGGCGTTCGGTGTCACCCTGTGGGAGATCTTCACCCTGTGTAAGGAGCAGCCCTACAGCCTGCTGTCTGACGAACAGGTCATAGAGAACACTGGCGAGTTCTTCAGGAACCAGGGCAGACAGGTGAGATGAATCAAACGTCATGCATCCAGGTGTACCTGATTCAGGGTCTTTCACCGTTTCTACATCTCTGAAAGGTCTTTACCGTCTGATCCCTTTAACTCTCTCATCTTTGTCTGTCAGATTTTCCTGTATGCCCCTCCGCTCTGCCCACCTTCTCTCTTCGAGCTGATGATGCGTTGCTGGAGTCGAGATATCCCCAACCGACCCTCCTTCGAGGGACTTTACCAGGCCCTGAGGCCCCACGTCAACCAGTGAGTCGAAGTCGCTGGGACGTACCACTCGGGCTTTCCTCTGGACTCCTGAAAGACAACCGAACTGACATGAGAAGACTGGTGTTGTGTTACGAGAGCGAGAGGCTGTCAGAGGGACTGAGGGAACTGGCAGAGCTGTGGTCAGAAGGTTGGTTTTGCTTTGTGGGAATAGCAGCTCGCTATTCTGAGAGACACGACTGAGATGGGAAAAGAAAAGGTCGGTCAAATCAGAGGAGAAACGTTTTGCAAGATTAAAAGTGAACAAAGATTTCTAAGCTTTTGAAAGATTTCTGTCAATGCCAGTTTCACAGTTTCACCCATCTCTTTAAAGCCTCTTTGACCAAAATGTCTTGTCTGACCTTTTGATATACTTTCTTTTCACGGTTTTACCTTGTGCCAAAGGTGCCGTAAACTTTATTTTCTTCCTCTCTGGACAGACTCTTCGGTCTTGGTACTTTCTCCTGTCCCTGTGGTTTTTATTATTATTGTAAAGCACTGTGTCTGTGTCTCTCAGTTATTCATGTTCATATATTAACCCACACTGGAGCTAGGGTTAGGGTCAAATTGTAGTGTAGGATTTTATTTTTATTCTATTTTATTTTTCTTGGTTTATTGTATTTCATTTGTTTTGGTCTTTTTTTTTTGTGGATATGAATGTTGTTCAGCTGAGGTTCACGTCACAGTGCCGAGAGGCTGCGTCGAAACCTGTGTGGTTCACAGACTGAGGGTCAGTCGGTGGGTAACTGTGGGTAATTTAGGAAAGAATCACAATCGGAGGCACATCGAAACCAAATAAGAAAAAAAACAAGTAGTGCCTTTTTTGTTGCCAAAGAGAAACAAAGATTGTTTGTGTTAAAATTACATTATTATAATAAAATTGTAAAAAATAATCCGCAAAACATTACACCAATAACATCTGCAAATTGGTTCTTTTATTCAAAGTGCCTTACATCTGTAGCAAGAGTGGTACCAGTGGGAATTTAGCCAACATTAATAACACGGGTACTACAAGTAGGTAAAGATCGAATGTCAAGGTATCACTTTACCTTTGTCTGTGTTTGTGGTTTGGCCTACAAATGTATACTGAGTGTGTATACGTCTGTGTTGGAGCCCATAGACCTGTAGGTGTATATGCTTTGTCTCCATTAGTCCTGTTCTGCCTTGATGGAGTTAGAAGTGATTTAGGTTAGCATTAGCCAGCTAGCCACAGAGCTGTACAATGTTGAAATTTGAAGTCAGTAGTTTCGTCACTAATAAGACAGTGAAACAAATCACAAACCGTTCAAATTAAAGGAGCTACTTGTGAGTTTTGCTATTGCTACATAGTTAGCATTAGCATTAACAGCTGTTTACTCACCAGTCTACAAGAAACGTTGCGAGTTTAGCATCAAACTTCATATCTTTACCCACCAAGAGCTGTCTACAGAGGTGGAAACAAACAACAATGTTAACTCTTGTCTCTAATACGTCTTTTCTGTTACTGAAGTTAGCATGCTGACCAGCTAGCCCTGGTCCGTCTCATCACTTTTCAATAGCGACTCACTGTAGCGTCCAATCTGACCTGAAGACGTAGTGCTGCACAGAGGGCGTATTATTATACACATCGATGGCGGACGCTCTTGTCAAGCAACAATCACCACTATGTGCTCCCAGCAAGAAACCACTTTGGTGGCAGAGAAAACTTAGCGATAGCCCCTTTGAGATTAAAATATTCACCCAACAGAAACCGGTCCTTTGCAGCAACTCATAAAGTAACACAGAAATCTTGGCGAAAAAAGTTGACAAATTGTGGTGTTATAGTGAAAAGATTTAGTTTTGAAGACAATGAAGACACTATAGCCCTGTTGGAATATACCACAACTTTTGTATAGGTGCTAGTTAGCTGACTAGCTAGTTCTTGGGGGACAAGGTTTACTTCATTTTAACTGTCTAACTAACTAGCAAAGTACTTAGCAAGTAAGGTTATGGTTAAACAAGGTTTAGCTTCAAAACTGCGGAGATGTTGGTTAGCTTTCTGAGTTATTTGTCTACTGTTGTCTGTACCCAGTTCATAATTAGACTTTGGTATGATTTAAAAAGACTACAGCAGCCAATCTGACCACATCGAGGTAAAGTCTTGACAAGTGGCGAATCAGGCATTACATTTACATTTTGGGCCATACATAGCAGAACTACTGTGTTAGAATGGGGCCCTCGGACCTGAGAGCCAATGAGCCACAAAGGACTGAGGAGCAGGGGGCTGATACACTTTGGACAGATGAAGCCGTCAGACAAGTCACGTCTCTCACTGCAGTAACCAGCCAATCACTGCTGCACCTTTCCTAATGCCCTGAAGGAGATTCAGATTCTGTATGTTTGAAAAACAAGTCTTTCTTTAAATCTGTACTGATTTTTGTCGCATAGCAATCGAAAGAGTCTTGTTTACAAAACTAATGCAGGATAGATGCAGCACAGAACAAAATGAATGCAGAGCTGAGGACTTTACAGTGTTACTGCAGTCTTCAGTAAATCTGTGGAAAGGCAGATACAGGGGAAAAGGTAATGATGTTGTTAGCTGTTGTGATGATGGGTTTTCCATACACTGCAGCATTTCTTGCCAACACTGAAACTGGATTAACATATTTTCTCCCACTTGGATTTTTCTTATATGCCAGTCACACCAACATTTTAATAGTTTCCAGCTTATCTCAATGGAATTGCTACAATCAGTTAATTCAGGCAAAGCAGATCTGTGTAAATCTTTCATGAATTGGAATCCAAATTCAAGTTTGGTGAACTTCAACACAGAAATTTGTGCTGTCGACTATGGAGAATTACAATCATTCAGAAAGCTGCACTAACAGGGTATTGTATCTGTAACTGTAGTTTTGTAACCTTGTGCATTTATGTTTGTATCCAGAACTTGTTAATTTTGTTTTCTGTCTGCAAACTCCATGTTGATAAACAAGATCTACAAAAAGTACAAAACTCAGCTTACACAAACAAACTTCAGTGCTATGGTTACAGATACAAGAACACCTTTTTGAATGATATAATATTCCATTGTCCACCAGTAGCAAACTGTCTTGATAGTTCTGACCTTTGAGGGAATGGAGAGTCCAACACAGGAAATGCTAATATGGCTCATTACCTGTGTTGCACCATCCACTTTAACTCTCCTTTGTAGAGTATACATTGTTGACATGGTTTGTAGACAGTTATGAGACAGCTGGCTAGCTAGCTAAGTGATTGTCAGCTAAGTGCTAACAGACAGTTAATAGGCTAGATAGCTCTCCAAGTTAGCAAGCCCACTGAGTGACAGTTATGCTGCGTTCACGTCATATCGGAGTTACCTTAATTTCCTACTTGCAAAATGAGTTCAACATCCAATTTGTAATTATGACTGTCTGGGAAAATTAAAATTTTTCTGAAACCTCTGATATATCCAACTTTCCATCAAAGTCTGTTGCTAAAGGTTATTAAATGCATGACCCTAGCATCTCTGCAAAAACAACCGTAACTCAAGGTTATTACACTTTCTTCAAATTTCACTCCGTTTTTTTTTTTTGGCTTGTTAGCTAGTAAACATTCTTTGCAGAAATGTAGCAAACATTTGTGTCTTTCTGTTTAGCTTTGTTAGTGTTTGTTGATTATGACGACTGGAATCTCCAGTAATAAGTAAGACGCAGTAGCACAAGAAGACTGACAGCTGCCATCAGTTTAACGCTGACGTGAGCGCGGCATTAGCAAGCTAGCTAACTTGAAGAGCTAGCATGTTAGCAGTTAGTTCACCAACTAACCCTGCAAGAAAAGTCAACACTGACATCAGCGGGGCATTAGCAAGCTAGCTAACTTGAAGAGCTAGCTTGTTAGCAGTTAGTTCACCAACTAACCCTGCAAGAAAAGTCAACACTGATGTCAACAGGGCGTTAGCAAGCTAGCTAACTTGAAGAGCTAGCATGTTAGCAGTTAGTTCACCAACTAACCCTGCAAGAAAAGTCAACACTGACATCAGCGGGGCGTTAGCAAGCTAGCTAACTTGAAGAGCTAGCATGTTAGCAGTTAGTTCACCAGCTAACCCTGCAAGTAAAGTAATTTTGTCACCAATGCGTCTATCAATTTCTTTATTTTATGTCCCACTCTTTTTATATTTTAGCCTTTTAGTTAATGCAGTACGTGTGTACAGTATTTTGAATCCTCCCGTAGAACAAATTGTTCAAAATATAAAATGGCACAAACCAACATCATCTTCACAGTAAAGAGGGAGGAAGACCAAACATGTTCAGTTCGAGTGTTTTTTGTCGTTACAGTAGTGTTTTGTTATCTGTACTGTATCTTCTATGAGTGTATGAGCGTGTGTGTGTGTGTGTGTTATTAAGAGATGATGAGTTTTGTGAATGAGTGTTTTCGACATTCCTTTGAGCACTGGGAGCTAGTTGGGATTATAGTGGTTGACCAGAGGTGCTCTGTTGTACCAAATTATGTGATTAAAAGAGGGAGAAAAGTGTTTTTTTTTAAGACAAGAGGAAAAAGTGCAGGAAGTAAGGAAACCACTAAACTCAATCTCCCAGAGTCCTTTGCTACAGTGAGCCTGTGTATTTTGTTCTGGTTGCATTAGAGAGATAGACGAGTCATTTAGTTTGATAGTGTACAGTATAAGTGATCTATAATATCTCAGTGTGTGAATGCAGATTAGGTGTGATAATTGTTATTGATAAGTGATTATCTATCAGAATTTATAGTAGCTATTTCTCGTGATTATTTCTATTCTGGAAAGGTGTTGGGTTTTTTTTTCTTGGTTTTTTTCCAACAGGAATTCAGCAGCTTTGAATCTTTCTATCAGAGACGTCCTGTTTGTTTTCCTGCTGTGTTCTCTCCGGTTTCTCATCCACACTGTTTGAGCTTCAGTCTCATCTTCAGTATTGTTTCAGACATATATTGTACATAGGCTAGTAGCTGTGTATATTAATATATTGGGAGGTAGGAACTTTGCGTTCTGTCGTCCCAAGTCATTTTCACTCTGTACTCTCATGTCTCGGTTTGTTTTTCTTAATAATAAACAGTAAAATTTGTCAAACAGAAGAGTCGAGACTGTGTCTTTTTTTTTAATTGTATATTATTTTAATATTTATATCTATTTAGGAAACTTTTTCTTCAACATCACTTAATTTAAACTCCATCATAGATCACAAACAGATCCCACCTAGAGAGCAAATTAATCTCCCGGTCCAACATATGCTTTGTTCCTCCACCCGAGTCCGGCCCACATACTTCCACATCTGGTTATTGACTGACAGCACCAGAATTGGTCCAGATGTGGAAGTAGTATCTGACAGTCATGCTGCATACGGGCCAGATTCGGGCCGTGGAACCAGGCGTATACTTGGCCAAAAGAAAACAAGCATGCAGCCCAAGTATGAGCAAAGTTTACAGAGATATGAGTTATGTTGGGAAAATGTGTATAATATGATATATACATAATATTGTGTTATTTCCATTTGATGAAATGATGCAGCCATAAAAACATGGTGTGTTAAATTTCTTGGACCTGTTGATGTTGAGTTAGGAGCAGGTGACGGATGAGTCATGTGTCAGTAATGCCTCTTAATTATGTTAAAATATGGACTTTTAAATTAATTTGTGGGGAGTTTTTTTCATGACACTTTTTACCTCCCTCTGTTCCAGCTGTTTTATCAGGGACAAAATGTACAGCAGCTGTGTTGATGTGTGGTCCATCAGCAGAGGGCAGCAGTGAGGCAGAAACCTCACTTACAACAAACAGTATCACTGATGATATCTGACAGAACCTGTGGTGGTTCTGCAGGGAACCCGGAGCCACTCTCTGCTCTGACCATGAAAAAAAAAGCTCATTTGCACTTGGAGGAGCTCGATCGTTTCATCTGGGTTTAAAATGAGTTTTTTAGTTTAATGAAGCATCAACTCTTCAGATCTCAGGAAACAGAACAGTGTGAATTCTATTTTAGTGGATGGATTTGTTCCTTTCTCCAGTATAAACAATGGCATGTGTGCTTCAGTTTAGCAACAGGGTGCATGCATGGTGGGCAGGAATGTTTCTGTTGCCATGACACTTGGTAATAAAACTTTACAGCTTATAAATAAATAGGGATACAGTAGCCTACAGTTCATGCTTTGCCTTTATTACAGTTGAGTTAATACTTTTTTTTAGCCACTGGGGGCAGAAGACCTTCAAGATAAGCTAACAGACAGGTGAACATGTAAGCAACCAGTGTGGCACATCCCTTCAGCTCTGTCTTTGGTTCCAGGAGCGATTGGATAACGACGGATAGATGTAAGAAACTTCTTGAGGACAGAGCTGCTCTTCATCTGTCAGAACCACACTTGCTGTAATTGTCTTTCAGAGCTAAATCTGACAGACAAAGAAACCAAAAGCAGAGGTTTGTTTGCAGACGTGGGCTCGCTGACCGCAGGTTTCATAAGGGTGGTTCAACAGGAGCTCAGTGCCAGAGGGAAAGTCACAGGGATAAACAATGGCCCAGGTTTTCTTCTGATAGCAGTATAAAGAACCGTTTAATGTTGCCAAAGCCGTCTGCAGCTCCAGGTATGAAGAATAAATGACTCTTGGCTGGTTGGATTGTGAGTCACAAAATAAGTAACACAATGAGTTCTGGGCAGCAAAGAGAAATCCTCCACACGTGTTAAAGTTTACACAACACTGAGCGAGGTGACAACAGCTTTTATAAAAGTGTGGTGTGATGGTAGAGCAGGAGCAGCCAAACCCAACCTGGCTGTAATTGTTGGTGTTGTCCTCCTGAATGTGAGAGGACATTTGGTCACAGTGAGGATTATTTTTATCTCTTCAGCGTGAGACCTGTCACGTCCACAAAAACTTTCTGAAGGAACTCAAGTTAAAATGTGTCTGGCTGTTTTTCTGGCTTCTTATTTCATTCCACTGACGACTAAAATAACAAGTGCACACAAAAATGCAAGCAGTAATTATTCAGCAAGTCTTATAAGTCTGGATTTTATTTGTAGGAAAGTCAGGAAAGATTCATGACCACAGTGACTCAATGACCTGTTGAATTAAAGCTCCTCCAGTGTAAAGGTCTGTGTCCATGTGTAGTGTGATTATAGATCAGCTCTAGCTTCTATATTAATACTGTGAAAGTATCAAAGCCTCAGTCCACAGAGAAATGCACACAGCCTGTATTCAGAAACTGAGCCTTAAAACCAGCCGTCAGGACTTCTGGAACTTTGTGATGTCACAACAAAGCAGTCACCAAGCCCCGCCCACCTGGACCCACCATCCAAACCTTGCAGGATTTGGTTTCTCTGAGTGTTTTTACCTGAAATCTGCGGTATTTTTATTGGCTCACTCAGAAAACAGTCAGCCAATCAGAAGAGAGGCTCAGAGCCTCCTCTCTTCTGATTGGCTCCAGAGAGAAGCCTGAGAGAGGAGATGTAAAACTACACTGAGATGGTTTTTGTTTCTTGAAAACACAAATATATCTTCTTATGGATCAACACTTGAAAAACTTCAGAGTAGAATATGGGACCTTTAATTAGATTATGATTTTTGATTTCTGATTTTCTCTGGAAATTTTTCAAAATTTCTTCACATTACTACGTAATTAACAGCCTGTAAATTAAAGGGTTACAGAATATTTCACTGGACAGATAGGAGATTGGCCAGTCTTGTGTTTTGTCTCTGATAACGTCTCTTAGACCTTAAAAACAACCAGCACAGAGCTGAAACTCTTGAACCTGACTTCACGTTTTGCTGTAACAGGCCACAATGTGACCCAGATATGAATGAACCAAAAGCAACACCACAATCTTTAATCTGTTACTAAATAATACATGAAGATAAACCGAGGAATTCTTTGTGCGTCTTGGTTCATGGATGGATGAAGGATATGGGCTGCGACACATGGCTCCATACATGCAATAAAGCCTCCACCCTTCTTCGCTGATGGTAGGTGCAGTTTGTGCAGTTTAAGGCTCATTTGTGATTCTTATTTTGCCAAAATGAAATTTTCTCTTCATAACTTAAGACACCGGAGAATGCAAATTGCTTTGGAATTCAAATGTTGGGAGGGAAATACATTTTTGCTGAATGAAGCTTAATAAGATTGTGCAGATTAAACATTTAATGGTCCATTATGGGATATTTTGCCACTGCAGCAGCTACTTATACAAAAGGCACAGAAATAGAAGAAAATTGTGAATAAAGCTCAAACACATGCAAATAACAAATTAACATTTAACTGTTGATTATTGACTTTTGTCATTTACACACAAATAGTTCCGGTACTGGACTGTTGCTAAGCAACACATAAACATTTTCCTGATCTGCACAGTGCACACTAGCTTGCTACTCCACCTACACGTGACCTCAGGTGTGTGCTGAGGTGTCCAGGCTTCTTCCCTTCATCCTCCTCTGACGACCAGACATCATTTAATTCAAATGTTATTTCTGGAAATATTTTCATCTTTGTTTGTTACGATGTAAGAGAGATAACAATGTTAATGTGAATGTGGAAAGTACAGTGAAACAGCACAGAGACGAGAGCTGTTTGACCTCGGGGTCGGGGGCCAGGGGTCGGCTGGTAGATATGGAATCAGGTTCCACTGTGGTTAATAGTGTTTTTATTGAGCCTGGCTTCTATTAGCTTCTATTACAGCAGGAGCAGTGGAGATCTGGCTGACTGACGGCCTGATGGACGGGTGGAGGGACTGTGTTTCCATTAAAATGCCTTGTATCTGAGGCCAGTTTGAGTGTTTCTGGTTAGGTGGAGGCCTGTAGGGGAGAGTGGCAGCAGGATACAGTACTGAGACATTAAGAAGACATTAAAAATCTGTTTTCCTCAGCCTTTATCACAGCTTTCCTTAAACTTAACTGGATGGAAACGCAGCGACAGCTACTGAAATAAATCCTGGTGCATTGATTTACTGACTCAATGCTTATCTGAATATCCTCTTACTGTTTCTCAGAGATGAGAAAGTTGCAAACTCAAAAACGAGGAGGTCAGTGTAAAGATAAAACATTAGACACAAATTAAAACAAACACAGAAATGATATGAATAGAAACCATTAAAAAAGTAAAATAATTAAGACCAATTAACAATCAGTAAAAAAAGGTGTGTAAATTAAAACTGTTAAAAAGGAGGAATAAAATCTGATCATGTGACGTGTTCCATCGGCTTGGAGGATAAAAGCTGGAGGCAGTTTCACCAGTTTTTGTGGAGACCCGGGGAACGACCAGCGGCCTGTTCCAGCTATAAACAAGCTTTCAGATTTTAAGATCAATTCTAAAATTTACTTGAAGACAACGTAACGACCTGAGCACAGGAGTTAAATGNATGTGTAAATTAAAACTGAGGAATAAAATCTGATCATGTGACGTGTTCCAGCGGCTTGGAGGATAAAAGCTGGAAGCAGTTTCACCAGTTTTTGTGGAGACCAGCGGCCTGTTCCAGCTATAAACAAGCTTTCAAATTTTAAGATCAATTCTAAAATTTCCTTGAAGACAACGTAACGACCTGAGCACAGGAGTTAAATGCTCATATTTCCTTTTTATTCCTCCGCGCCGGCGACAGTCAGAGCTGGAGGCGCATTGTTTTTGGGTTTTCCGTCAGTCCGTCCGATTCTCGTGAAGAACACGATATCTCAGAAACGCTCTGATGACACTTCTTCAAATTTAGCACAAACATTCAGCAGGACTCAAGGATGAACTGATTAGATTCTGGGAGTCAAAGGTCAAAGGTCAAGGTCGGTGTGACATCACAAAACACTGTTTAGCCATTACTCTTCACACAACAAGATAGATAGATAGATGTGACATCATGACTTCGTCTCTGTACCTGTGGTTATATGGATGATGTGAAACAAAGCTGACATAACTAGAACTATAATATACATACTGTTAAATCCTTTAAGTTGAATGTATTTCAGAGCCGCAGCTCCAGTAGCTGCAGGACGCCGTACAGAGCGGCTCACTCGCGGCTCCGACACGTGTGCACACTTCAACCGATTCCTTCACCGTTAAAGGAAAAAGTGATCAAGCTGAACAAGAGCTGTTTTTTAATGACCTTTGTGTAAAGATGAAAGGCGGCTGACTTTATCGCAGCGCTCTGCACTTCCCTCTCAGGAATACAAGGCAGCGCGGCGGCTGCAGCTCCCAATGAGAAGCAGGTGTCGGCCCGATCTGAGCCGTTTAAACAGCTTCATAATGAGGGCCGGCCGCCTGCGGGGGCCTCCTGCACACAGGACACATAAAGAGCTATGGAAACACCAGACACAATAGCACGTCCTTCATCACCACCAACATCGTCATCACCTGCAGTGAGTGTGTACACGTGTGTGGATGACAAGAAGAAGAAGAGATTTCTAACAATACCACAAAATCACATACATGACAGCAGCTGAAGCCTCTGTGAGTCTGAGGCGACGTGACGGAGGGAACATACGTGTTCCAGTGTTGCTTGAGGTCGACGCAGTAAAAAGGTGTTGCAGACTTGATGCAGCGTCGCCGGTGAATGTCACACCTGCATTCAGCAAATTAAACACGTGATGCACGTGACTGGGCTTAAGTCCAAACATGTGGATATGTACAGTAGGCCTGGTTAGAGGAGAGAGGATGGACCTATAGGCCTCCCCCTGCTTCCAGAGTTTATGCTAAGCTAGGCTAAACACATCCTAGATCTAACGCTGTTCTGGGATCTGATGTGACTGAAGGAAGTCAGAAATTTCTTGCTGCATTAGCTACATTAGCATTTTCAGATGGTTTAGCTCGTGTGTTTCTACCTGTTGAGACGACGGATGCTGAGTAGCTGCTGCTGTGTTGTTGATGTGGCAGGTAGCGGTTTGCTAAGTGGTTATGGCTACAGTGTTTACTAATGCGTTTCCAGGTGGTTGCTAAGTGGTTGCTATGGCATCCTGGGCAGGTGGGTGCTCCTGAGTTTCCCTCCCTGAGCTCGACACAGACTGAGCAGATCTGACAGGAGGCAGATGTTCCAGCTGTTCCTGCAGCAGACAGTGAAAACCCAACACCTGCCAAACTGATTCTTATTATCAACCTTAATCCAACGTCTTTCCAACGTCAGAGTCGTTAGAGTCCGACGTCTCCCTGACGTGACTTCGATGTCTGGTGCATGCTGGGAAAGTATGTGTTCTGTACATTTAACAGCAAGAGCAGCAACGTGTGAACAACGGCCTCGGGGTTCACACCAGGACTCCCACACTAATGTGGTCCAACTGTACTGAGACGTACTGCAGGGTGTCGGTCCACTGTGATGTCACTGGTGGGTGTGGTCACAGGTGCGAAGAACAGACTAGAACCCTTCACTTCAGCCTGATGTTCCCATGAGCTACACTATTAAATACACTTCAGTATTTTGTAATAACTGCAGCCTGAACATTTAATGAACAGAAGAAAATAATTGTTGGAGATTCCTCAGAAATATTTATTTTCTCTGCCTATAACAGAACGATGTTACTGCTTTATGCAAATACAGTTTTAAATGAAGCAAAAAAAGAAGTTTGCATCCACAGATGAAAAGATACGAGACGCAAAACAATCTAAAATACACATTTCTCTTTTTCTGAACGAGCAGATTTATTCAGTTTCGGTTTTAAATACATTTTGAAATGTTTTATAACATCCTGTTGTTCTGTGCTGCCGCCCTGTTGTGAAGCATCATCCTGACTCTGAGTCAGTGTCAGGTCTGAAGGAGCTTCCTCTCTGAGGGACAGTGGAGGTCTGAAGATCTACGTTTCCTCTGCTTCAGCGTCTGAAGGGAAACGTAAAGGAAGTATAAGAGTCACTCTTCTGGGCTGGAAAGAGAATATAACCTCTGTGGGTCACTGTAAAGATTGTGTGTGTGTGTGTGTGTGTGTGTGTGTGTGACCTGCAGCATGTGGGTGGCAGGTTGTGTGTTTCACAGTATTTAAGTGCTTCAACTTCAGCTTTTTTAAAGCATCCTGAGCGCTCAGCGGGGGGGGGGGGGGGGGGGGGGGGGGGGGGGGGTTCCTCCTGTAAAACCAAACAAAAGCATCTTGAATGGATTGTACAACATGTTCATGTTCATGTTCAGTAGCTGCAGAGTTAAACTCTTTCTCTGCTTTGGTTGGTTTAACACCAGAAACCTGAGGGAAGCGTCTCGGCTCCGTCGTCCGCTGGATGATGAAGAAATAAAAAGAGATCGTGCAACAAACGCTTGAAGAACAGGAAGAGTGTGAACAGGTTAAACCTCTGAGGACCCTGCAGCGTGGACCCTGTGGATGTGGACCGGACTCAGTTTCCTCAGTTGTCAGTGTAAAATTAGAGAGCAGCTCTGACCACGGAGATAATTAGACTGAGACAGGATCGTCATGAGGCCACAGCGTCGCTCTAATTACACCTCATCCTGAGGAGAGGGAGGACGACGGGTCAGAAAATGATTTACCTGCAGCTTCCCTCAGTGCAGCCGCAGCCTGATGAGCCTTTACTGTGAAGGACCAAACTCATTAACATTTTCCTTCCTTCCTTCCTTCTTTTGCAAGAAAATCAATCAATATTTAATCAGTTTATTTTCAGTGAAACTTCTCCATGATGCTGCATTTAAGGACCGTCTGAAACATCAGCCCTCACAGGACTTGTTTACAGTCGCCCCTGTCCTCCACAGATCTGTGCTCCTCAGCTGCTGCTGCTGCTGCACTTTGGCTTTGGGCTTCAACATAAACTATAACTGTGTGAGGCCTGAAAAATACAAAATAAAAGCCTCAGTGAAAATGTCTGCTCTTCATGTGTCTGGTCCAGTCTTGTGTTCTGATGATGATCTTTCCCCTGGAGGAGTCAGAGCTCCGAGCTCAGGGCTGAAGACTCAGTGCTGAACTTCATGTTGTTTATTTTCTCTTTGTTTCCAAGCTTTTATTATGAAATTTACTCTGAGACACAAACTGATGTTGTAGTTTTTAAAAAATGAGACGAATTTCAACTGGTTGTTAGTTGCTGACGCTGAATGAAAGTCACATGTAGTGAAGGTCAAAGGTCACATCACATCCAAAACCATACTGCAGCTTCAACATTTAACTCCTCCTCTCTCTCTCCCTCCCTCCCTCTCTCGCTGTCTCTCTCCCTCCCTCTCTCGCTCTGTCTCTCTCTCTCTCCCTCCATCTCCCTCCCTCTCTTTCTCTCTCTCTTTCTCTCTCTCTTTCCCTCCCTCCCTCTCTCTCTCTCTCCCTCCCTCCCTCTCTCTCCCTCCCTCCCTCCCTCCCTCCCTCTCTCTCTCTCTTTCTCTCTCTCTCCCTCTCTCTCTTTCCCTCCCTCCCTCTCTCCCTCTCTCTTCAGCAGCTGAGCTCAGACACTTGACAGAACTTCTTCAGATCACCAGTTGTGTTTGTGAAGAAGAAGAAGAGGAAGAAGAAGAAGAAGAGGATCGTTCTTCTTCGTGTCAGTTATTTATTTAAAGATGAAGGAACTCTCCTCTGAGGCCTTGTTTCTCTCTTTTGCACATTTATGTTTCCTTTGTAGTTTTCTGGATGAAGCTCGCGCTCAGGAGGCGGCTGCTGACGGTGACGGTGATGCGCTCCGGCGGGGGTTGACATGGCAACATAACGGGCAGGTTTTCAGCATCCTGAGCCGCGGCGCTCAGTACCGGCCGTCCGGCAGGAGGCAAACCGGGTCACCGAGCCGCGGGAACCCCGTGGTCGTCGTCAACAGCGGTAATGACACGGTGTCCGCCGCGTCCCGCAGCGCCCCGCGCGTCCCGGCAGCCAGCAGCACCGCGCAATTACGCGCCATGACGCGTCAGCGGCAGCAGCCGCAGCCGACGCCCGGCGGCGACGGTGACTCTGCCCCGGTGAGGCGGGAGGACATGATGGTCGGAGACGATCCGTACAACCCGTACAAGTCCTCCAACTACTATCCCTATTATAACCACTACAACTCCTACTACAGACCCAGAGCCAGGACTCAGCCCCGGCACGGGTACGGCACCAGCTACCACCAGAACGGTACGGAACCACCGTGTGTCGCTCTGCTAATTTAGAACTGTGACGTCATCATCACAAAGTTTTAAAACGAAATTATCTTTACAGACATTAAGATGTTTAAATAATCCTTTCATAGTTTTATTTTATAAGCCAATGACAGGAACCTTTATACACTTGTTCACTCAGTCTGATTTTGCACTAAAACGTTAAATCCATGGGGCTCCAACATTTGTGAGATTTTCAGTTGGTCATCAGCTGGAAAAGATCCAAATGTCACTTTTCATAGGCTCATTGTAGCTCCGCCCCTCGGTGATAAAGGAAGTCAGATGGTTTAATTTACATTTCCTATAGATCTTAATGATGGGCCTGTTGTATTTTTAATCATTTGAAATATAATGTGAATTAAAACACAGCTGTGAGTATTGTACTGTTATAATCCGGATTACTAACTGGGTGAAACAGACCCAAGAGGTCCAGACCCCCAGGTCCCCTAAAGGTTTACTCTGCATCAGCTGCATCACTGACTGTTGTCCTCCCTCCTCCATGTTTTGGCCCCGTGTTGTCGAGGGACTCTGGATCTTTTCAGCTCTACTGGTTCTGGTCGGTTCTGGGGATTTAATGAAACTGTGTTAATGGGGGTCAGTAGGGGCCCATATACAACAGAGATTAATGTGGCCCTGGATGGACCAGGTTCAGGGCCCCGACCCAACACGTCAGTCTCAATGCACCGAGAATAGTTTAGGAGGAAATACGTCTCCAGACCGACCAGGAGGGGGCAGTAGTCTGCCCTCATTAGAAAGAGTTACCCAGCAGGCTTTGCTGTTTTCATGCCTCGGTCAATCTGTTGCGACTCACGGTTGTTTGAGCTTCATTTCTTCATTAAAGTCTTCAGGTCAGAGGTCACCTGAGCTGCTGAGGTGAGGGTGACGGTGAAGAGATGTTTTCCTGCAGGACTGATGGACCCCCCCCCACTGTGTCCTCGTTGCAGGTCTCCCTGATCTGGTTCCTGACCCGTACTACATCCAGATCGCCACCTACGTCCAGAGGCTGCCCATGTACAACCTGCGCTGTGCTGCAGAGGAGAACTGCCTCGCCTCGTAAGACGACACACTCACACCTGCAGCTTGTAGCCCCGCCCACTTCTATCAGACGCTTTTTCATTTCAGAGAAGTTACATATTGACTGAAACCAGCTTTAACTGTGACTCAGGAGAGAAGCTGTTGATGTGAAACAGCAAATGATCTTTTTTGCAGAAACAAAATATTCAAGAAAAAATCAATCGATTCATCTCACGCTCTCCACATTCTTCTCTCTCTGTGAAAATCCAGTATCATGACGGACACCTGATCAGTCTGTGAGGTCACCGTCCGTCAGACCAGCGTCACCCCGTCTTTCAGTCTGGAAACTGACGTTCTCTGTGAACTTGTCTCCAAGTGTCTTTACATTAGACGCACGTGTTCAATCACAACACGTGTAGGAAAATATCACGCAGGGTCAAAGCGTGTTGCGTTCACATACACTGCTGGGAGCTCTGTAAGTTTGTGCTTTGCTTAAAATATGAATATTAAACGTTCTAACTCTGACCTCTGGTTGTTTGTTCTCCTCCAGTTCCTCTGCTTATTCTCAGGATTATGACACCAGGGTTCTGTTGAGGTTCCCTCAGAGGGTGAAGAACCAGGGAACGGCCGACTTCCTGCCCAGCAAACCCCGATACGCCTGGGAGTGGCACAGCTGTCACAAGTAGGTAGCGAGTTAAAGCTAACGTTAGCATGTTAGCACCGATGACCTGACCTGACCTCGCCGCTCTCTCTCAGTCACTTCCACAGCATGGACGAGTTCAGCCTGTACGAGCTGCTGGACGCCCGGACCCAGAGCCAGGTCGCCGAGGGTCACAAGGCCAGCTTCTGTCTGGAGGACACTTCCTGTGACCCGGGATACTACCGCCGCTTCGCCTGCACCTCACACACTCAGGTACCAACACACACCATCGTCTACGCCACATGTCTTCTGAAGCAGAGCGATTACCGGACAGTAACGAGAACAGATTATAGATTCATCTGTACATGTAACACTTGATATTAGGAACAAACAAGGGAGCAAGGAAAGGAGCCAAAAACAAGGATGGAAGGAAGTAGGATAGAGGACAGTGAGGAAGGACAGAAAGAAAGGAATAAAACACGTTTCCATATCTTTGTGTTTTTGTATCAAATATAATATGATATAATAATATTATCACAACATAAATATCAATGATATGTCTTTTATTATATTGTATTTAATATTATTGTTGATATTTGCATATTATTGTATAATCATGAATCAACCATCTGTCAGTGTTAAAATAAAGGTTTGTGATCTGTCCTGACAATTACATTTGAATTTGATATTTAAGTTATGAGAAAATGTAGTTATGTATTTGTACATTTATTACTGTATAAAATATTATTAACTATTTAATCATTTCAAGTAAATGTGTCTTGTAAAGAGATAAAAAATTGTGTGTGTGTGTGTGCGTGTGTGTGTGTGTGTGTGTGTGTGTGGGTGTGTGTGTGTGTGTGTGTGTGTGTGTGTGTGTGTGTGTGTGTGTGTGTGTGTGTGTGTGTGTACAGGGTTTGAGTCCTGGTTGCTATGACACCTACAACGCCGACATTGACTGTCAGTGGATCGACATCACCGACGTCTCACCTGGAAAATACATCCTCAAGGTTCAGTAATGAGACGACTTCCTGTTTTTAAAGTATAAGTCTTATTCTGTGTTTTCACTGTAGAAATACTCACTGGAGAATCAAATGTGTATTAATCCGCCACTGAAAATAGTCCCCAGAAGATGCTCTGTTTGAATATACACAGAAAGTAACACAGTCGTTCACAGCAGCTGCTCAAGGTGCAGCATGTTACACAGAGTTATCTGTACATTGAATATATACGTATATAATATATGAGTCATGTATTCTGTGTCAGGTGACGGTGAACCCCAGGCAGCAGGTCCCAGAGTCCAACTTCAACAACAACGTAGTCCGCTGTGACGTCCAGTACACCGGCACCGCCGCGCACGTCTCCGGCTGCACCATGACATCGTAAGAAACGTTCTCCCGCTCACGAACCGCATCCCACACGCCGCCGCTCAGACCGGCGCCATGACGTGGGTCAAAGGTCAGGGTCAGAGGTGAAACTGCAGCTTCACTGTCTTTAAAGAGACAATGTGAAACATTCATTTCACACAAATCAATTCAACTTCCCTTCAACATATTGGTAATTTAGACATTTTATATTTTCAATTATACAACAGTTAGTTGTGACCGAGCGATCTGATTGGACGAGAGTCATTCCAGTGCTGATATGGAGAATACCAGCACTGGGACCTTTCACTACATGTATCACTCCGCTTCACAGGTGTTCTAATAACCGTTAATCAGCGTCACGTTAACGCTCGTTATTGATCTGAGATTGCAACAAACAAAGATGAAAATATTTCAGAAACAATAAACTATTTGAATTAAATGATGTCTGGTCGTCAGAGGAGGATGAAGGGGAGGAGCCTGGATATCAGACGCTCATATGACATCATCAGATCTCGACAAATCAGAGAAGAGCTAAACTGAAGCTAACACTGAGGCGAACAACACGAGCTTTGAACTTTCAGATCTCTACAGCGTCAGCAGCTAGTGTGCAGGTCAGGAAAATGTTTGTGTTGCTTAGCAGCAGTCCAGCACCGGTCCAGTTGCAGAACTATTTTTGTTGTTGTAGCCAAATAAATGATGATATAAACAAACAAGTCATAACCTGTTGCTGCTTATTGACGGCGCTCGATCGTAGACAAACATCACGACCTCCAGTCTGATGTTGTTTCAATGATGTCCAGTTTAAATCTACAGAATTCAGTGTGTGTGTGAGCAAATGTTTTCTATCAGTCGTCAATACTTTCTATCAGAGACTGATCGTGTTGTTTCTGCTTCCTGCAGCTACTGAGCCTGAGGATGAACAGACGGGTGGAGACAGGTGGAGACGGGTGGAGACGGGTGGAGAGACGGGTGGAGCTACAGAGGAGTGAATATTAAAGTCACAGTTTGTTAAACATGTGACTCTAATAATTCAGTTATAACCAGATTAAAGCAAAGAGTCATTATTAAAACTCATAAAAACACATGAATTAATGAAGCTGAATTACTCACTGAGATGTTTTTAATATTAATATTTTACACGTTGTCAGTTTAAAACTGGAGAATGGGGGGGGGGTAAAATGAAATAAATAAATAAAATAAAAATATTTCCAGGTCTGTGCTTCTGTGCAGCTCTGGCTCTTTATGTGAGAAGTGTATTTACACATTTATCTGAAACCTGCAGTTACTGGTTCGTTAGTTGTTGTTTTTTTACTTTGCAGATTTAGTTTTTATTTCTAACATGATATTTACTCTCATTTTGACTGAGTCTGTTCGATGCTTTAAATAAATACACACGTTTTTTTATGACATTGCTACAGATCGAGATGCCAAGATATCACTTATTATTTCAGAATATGGAGACGCATCGTGAGCAACAGCTGACTGCTTCATCTCGATCACACAATAATCATTTTTAGATTGCGAATAGGAACTTACATGCATGTCTTTTCTGTACTCTCATTTTTGTTGTTAATTTAAAGTTTCAGAAGTTTTGGGTCGTTTCCAGTGAAAAGTGACACTCAGCAGTTTGTGTTTTAAACTTTCACTTCGCTCGGTGCTGCAGAGTCGATCTGTGAGTTCTGGTGCTAAAAGTTTTCAAACTGAATTAAACAGAAAATAATGAAACTGAGCTGCTGGTTAAAATCCTGTCACAGGTGTCAGACCTTCAAACTAATGTGTGTGTGTGTGTATGTGTGTGTGTATGTGTGTGTGTGTGTGTGTGTGTGTGTGTGTGTGTGTTGGTGGACGCTGTATAGAGTGTGTGTGTGTGCTCATGCTGTAACTACACACACCTGTAGAGCTGTGTATATAGACGAGCTCACATCTCATGTTATCAACCTGCATTACTGCTTCATATCACATTAATAAAGTTTGCTTGAACGTGAACATTGTTTTTGTTGTTGTTGTTGTTGTTGTTGTGTGACTCAGGCTACAGTGTTTTTCCATCAACATGTTTCCTTCTGCATTTTCAGTTTGTGCATAAAAACCAAAATGTCTGAAAAAACTAAAACATTTTTACACAAAATTAAAAAGAAGAAGAAGCAAATCTTTAAACTAAAAACTGCTTGTGTCCAAAACTTACACTGAAATGCTGTATTTGAGTAAATGTACTTAGTGGAGCTGACTTTTATTTTAATTAGTTACCTCTGTGTATTTCCTGCTGTGATGAGTCAAAATGTCTGCTGTATGTCTAATGTGTGATTTCATTTTCTGACTCAAAAGTGGATTTAATCGCAAATTTCTCTTTAAATAAAAGTAGCTGTACCACAGTGTAGAAATATTCTGTTACAAGTAAAAGTCTGGAATTAAAATTTTTTTATGCTAATACAAAAGTATATTAGCATCAATTTACACTTCAACTATATTACCTCAAAATATCAAAGATGCAGTGCTTGAGTAAATGTTCTCAGTTACACACTGCATTTTCAAATCAAATTTAAATGTTCCTCTGGCTCTGATGCAGCTTCCTTGTCTCTGATCTGTAGTTTCCACTCTGGCTCTGGAGCAATGTCCCGCCCACAGCTGATGTCCCGCCCACAGCACGATCTGATTGGTTAGACGTTAGAGTAATGGCCTATCACGCTGAAGGCTGCTGTGTACGCAGACGTTCACAGACTAGAGCGGCTCCAGGTGAGGAATGGAGCTGTGTATCGAAGGTAAGACAGCAGACATCACTGCAGATGGAATAAACATCACAATCCTCTACAGTGAAGTTACAACAACATCACACTCTGATGAACAAGGTCATCTGTTGGTTGAAGACACACCGAGCGAGAGAGAGAGAGAAGCTAGCGCTAACTGCTAAGCTAAAGTAACTAGCTGAAATGAATAGCATGTAGACAACCGCTGAATTTGTAAAATTCACTAAAAGGAGCAGAGAGCTCTGGGTGCTGGAGCAGAACTAGTGTAAGTTTAAATGTACAGCAGGTAGTTAGACACTGTGATGAAGAAAAGAGCATCATTAACTGTTAAGACGGAGATAAACACAACCAGTAACAGAAACTCCAGACAGGAGATGAGACACTACACTGACGTCAGCACGTCAGGACGTTAACGGTCTCTAACTACTGTTGCTGAAAAGACATTTTACTTCAATAGAAGTAAAATCACTTTGAATTATTTTTGTATGATGAACACTCTGTATGCTCCTGAACGCATCGGTCTGTGATACGTTCAGGTGACAGCCATAGACATATACACAGCCTATAGAGCCTAAACTATAACGATTCTAATTAACCAGAGACCAAACTTTTATCTTTACTGCACGTAGATCATAAATCCTTGAATATAAAAATGACTTATTGAAATTGGTTGAGAAATATAAACACAATCGATCTTTTCATCCAGAAAAACTGCGACTCTTCCGTTTAACCCTGTTTGTTTACAGAGCAGTCTTGCCCGGACCAACATGGCGGCGACGTTGACTTATCCCAGCAACGGGCTGAAGCGGTGACGGTTAGGTCGTGTCTGCCTTGGACCACGGACATTTCTTTAGGGTGTGCGTCCATAAAAAGTGAGTCAAACATTCAAGTGTCTATGTTACACACAGTTAGTGTTTATTTAGCCGTGAGTGCATTTCTTCCGTAGTTAATTGTTGTTTCTCACATGACGTGAATCGGAGCTAGCAGCTAGCTTGTGATATTATGTGAATTGTGTTTTACTGTATTCTGCTAGCTAGTTTTTCTACCGTTTTTCTTTACAACGAAGTTGTTATTTCCTGTTTAAGATGGATAATTGTTACTTAGTGACATTAGTCTCATTTATATGTTAGGCAGTTTACATATTGATTCAGTATTTGCAAAGTGTTATTTTCTAGTTTGTCACAGTCATTACAGGCCTTTAGCACTGTATGCTAGCTGTTATCTGTGTAGATACTTATGTGTAGCTGTGTTTACGTTGCTGTTATTCTGGCTGCTAATCAGCTTGTACTGTTGTGTTCTATTGTTACAGAACCACACACACAAATCTTTACAGACTAAACAGTCTGAACCTTGACCTGGAATCTGCGTCCCTTTTATTCCTACCCTCACCTGAAGACTAAATGTTGTCCTGACCCGACACCCTGAAGTGATTGCTGCCACACCTATAAAGACACTGGCCCAATCCCAGGGTCCACCCTCACAGACTCATAGGCTTGGTGCCACGTTCCAGGTAAGTTTTTGAAGGTTTAGTTCTGTCCTGCTGTCAATCCATCGTGCACATGAGGACTCTGAGGCAGACATTTCGAGCCCTTTATTCACACACAATTGCCAAAAGTTCATAGCTTTGTGTCATTAAACACAGGGTTGCCATGGTTATCAGGGGACGCCCAGAAGCATAAAAAACGGCAAACAACAGACATAAAATGCAAGAAATAATAAGGTAGAAGAACAAACAAGCATGAAAGGAACGAACCCTAACGTTAGCATTAGAAGAAAACAGACAATAGATAGATAGATAGATAGATACTTTATTTTTCCCGTTGGGGAAATTCATGACAGTATAACACAGAATCACTGATTCAGAGCCTGAACTGTGGAGTTATCTGTCCTATGATGATGTGGTGATGAATTCCAAATATCCAGATTGGATCAGATCTGATCCAACATTATTTTTTTGTTTACAAACAGGAAGCGAAGGAAGTGAACAAAAATGTAAAATCAAAAGTCCCAAACCCCAAATTTAATACAAATGTTTTGTTACCATCAAGGTAACGTGATATAAGTGCTGTCCTATTCCTCTTTATACCATGTTGAGTCCTTCAGCCTCTCACACTGAAACACTCACCAGGTGGCGTCACTAAGTCTGTGAGGGTTCAGGGTTCAGCTCTTCGG